CTTTTAAAGTATTGCATGGTAGAACCAGAAGCTGAACTTCATATTAGTGACAAACTTTGGCATTTTTTGACAGGTTACCTTAATTTTTGCTTCTACTTTTTATTTAAAATAGGTTTCCATTCTCGGTGGGTATATAATGTTCTTATTCTACACATTTAAAAAGTTGTAAAACATCTGAGTGGTGCACTACTGCTACTAGTGGTGAGAAAGTGTATTGCACCTTATTCAAAGTCAATGCAGTCCCATGGCCCTCTGCAACCCAAAGTTAAAAACTGTTGTTCTTTTGAGGCCCTCCAGCCCATGGGTTAAGAATCTGTGCCCTAAAAGACCCCGAACAGCGACTTGAAGTGCCTCACCTCGCAGATTCATCCATGTTTGCTCGGTGAACGGTAGGATCTTTTGGTTCCTCAGCACCTGAAGATGTCCGCCTGCATTTCGAACCTCGACGACGTCAGAGGAGTTGTCCTTCACGGCCACCGCTGACAGCTGTGTGGCTTTGACCAAGGTGCCTTAATGAACAACACTAACATGACTTCAAGATGCATACTGAGCACGAGAAGGAAAGAAATTTGTGTTTGGTTGAAACGTTTGACAATAAATCTAAAACTATTGGAAATCCTGTTTATTTCCCCTTAAATGGAGATACGTTTAAGGACAATATATTTGTGATTTGAGCCAAAATCATCTCTACTAACACCAAACTGCTTCTTCTGCTGTTGCAACATGTTTTGAGCTTCTGGTTATCTCTGATAAGATAAGCTCCGCCCCATTTTCTTTACAACTATAGCACCATTTAAGAAAAATTTAACAGACTTTCTAACTGTGCAAAACTGACTGCCAAGAAGCATCGTTACAACAAAGAAACAATCAACCAAACACATATTTCCTTACTTTCTGAGCTGTTTGTTCACAACACTGGCTTTAATTACAGTTTGAGTTTGAACAGCTTTAATAATCCAGATGTTTGATCTCACTGATCTAATAAAAGACTTATTGATGACATCTGGATCTTTAAAGTCATCGTTCTCATGGCTGCTGTGAACCCTGGAGGAAATCTAACTAAACAAAGCTAACATGTTTTTCTTCACCCTGACTAATGTCAGGAGACACCAGAAACAAAAGGAAATGTTATTTTACTAACAGGTTTCTTCAGTGAGAAACATCTGTTCTGGATGAGTCTCAGAACAATCACATGGAGCGACGTGAGGAARGTTAAATGTGGACTCACCGTTCTTTAGTTTCACCTGTTCTGTTCTGATCTGAACACTCAGCTCTCTGTCTGCTGTAGACACCAGGTAATACTCTCCTTTACCACTGAAGGTGTAACTGAGGCCATCAAAGGTGAGGAAATGCAGGTTTCCCAGAGCAGCACCTGTGAAGCATCGAGAAATAAACCTAAAATATTTCAACAGTTTTTTTAAATCCCCAGGATGCAGCTTAATGTTGTGTTGTCAAATATACGAGCTAATATTTTCCACATTTGAGCTCCCAGCTGAAGTCTGTAACTCATTTACCTTTTCTGAAAACTGATTTATGTTCTGTTGGAATTTAAGCCACAGTAAAAAATAAAATAAAATATGACAATAAAGAACCAGTAGGTTAAGTGTCTGCAACATGCGGCTCTGGGGCCACATGTGGCTCTTTGGTCCATCTGCAGTGGGTCTTTGAAAACGTGACTAAATATAACAGAATATTTTTTGTTTGTTTTTATCCCCACAACAGAAATCAATTTGTATGCAAATATGTGATCAATACTACAAATACAAAAAGTAAAACATTTTTCATTAGCTCATGCTAGCCTGTTGTGTACCTAAATAATCCAACTTCTTTCTATGATCTTTCTCTCAAATCCATCTGAATTACCTTTACATAATTTGAAGACTACATTATAAGAAGAATTAGAAAAAATATATATGATTAGTTCAGTTGTACTAATTTTTATGAAATTTGGTATAAACTATATACAGTATTTTTATTGTTRACATGAATATAGTATTTTCATTTGTCCTCATGTGTAAAAAATAATAATAAATAATACATTTTTATAATGTCACCTCCACTGGCCGTAAAGGTTCCTGAAAATGCCTCAAAGGGGCCCACGGACCACCAGTTGATAATRACAGTTGTAGRTTGTTTTACGGATCTGGACWCATTTTATTAATGCGTCAAGTAGCAGAAATGGCTCTTTTGATCATAAAAGTTGCAGACCCCTAACCTAGCTGTTTGTAAACACACCTGATCGACAATAAATAACAAACAAAACACAAAAAACAAAGTGATTTAATCTCCTAGCTGTTTGTAAAGACACCTGATCAACAATAAATAACCAATAAAA